ATATTTTCTCGTGTATATCTTGTATATATATATATATATATATATATATATATATATATATATATATATATATTAGAAAATGTTATTTAAATAGAATGACATTAAATAACTTTACCAGACCTTGATTTCTTTCTGTTCAACATAGCATAGACTTCTTTTCAAAAGTTGTTTAGAAGTATAATTTATAAGAAGATATTTTAAATAAACTTATAAACATTCTAAATAGGTTAATCTGCATAATAACATTATATGTTATCTAATGAGCTTAAATTTTAAAACAAAATGATAAACACATAATTACAAAATAAAATTATTTCTTTTATTTCAAAATGACTACAATTTTAACATTAAAAAAACCCTAAAATGACTAATGTTTTTCAAATTTTAATATAATATTTTTTCTTCTTCTAATTTGTCCCCTTATAAATTCTTCAACCACCGCACCTAAAGTGATAATTTTATTAATTGGAGAATTTTAATAAAATTATATACATATATATTATTCTTAATTTGTATATAAAAATCTTAAATTTTAGTCAAGATGAATAGGATACAACAAATTTTAATATAATAATAATATCAAAATCCCATTTTATATATATATATATATATATTTTAATAATTTCGTTAAGTGCGTGTTTGGTAACGTGTCAGAAACATAAAAATCATGTAATTTATCATAGAAAACATGGAAGCTATAGTTATTTACTTCTCATTTAACGTGAAAATTCGTATTCAGAACGTGGAAGCAAACACGCTCTAACTTAAAAGCACCTTTTGATTTATTTAAATATAGTCTTTTTAATTAAACATATTGTTGAAAATTTTTAAACCCTAAAATAGCAAGTCTAGCATAACCTAGCGACAGTTTGATTTATAAAATTTTAAAGTTTCACCCCACATTCAACTAAAATTTTATTGACAGGTGGTATTTGTTAGTGAAAAAGTTTTTCTTGCGCAATCATCATTTTTTGTTTTCCTTAAAGATTCTTAGGAATATTAATATAAAATATAGAAAATTAAATATTTTAATATTTGGTTATAATATATATTTATGTGTATATAAATATTTTTTATAAAAATAATTTTATTAAATATATTTATTTATCTAAATTTTATTACAATTATGATATTAAATTATTTTAAAAATTTAAATTTTATGGTTAAAATTATTTAAATATAAAATTTAGCAAAATAAATATTAAAAAATGTCATCTTATAATTAAGAAAAATAAAAATTATTTTATTTTATTTTATTCAAATAAATAAATAAATATGAATAAATATTATTAAACTACAAAAGTAAAAATATTATTAAAATTGATAAAATTAAAAATAATAATAAAATACAAGATAAAAATGAAGAGAAGAAGACGAAGACAGAAATACATATAGAGAGAGAAAGATGGAGCGAGGGAAAGAAAGAGAAATAGAAGAAAGAGATAAAAAGAATTACTCGTGAATTTCAAAAAAATAAAAACATTTTATATATAGAACACTCCCGTACAAATGTACATGTCATGAAAGTAATCATGAATACAAACACAATCATAGAATAGAGGCATGATTCAATAAATTAACTTTAGTATATAACATTTTAGTTATACTACTTTTTTATATTTATTATAAGGACATTTGAAGAAAAATACTATACAAAATATTTTTATATTTCAAGAAATCTTAAATCGTAAATTTCAGTAAAATTGAATACAGATAGGTAATTTATTAATTTTTTTATTATACGTAAAATTATTTTTTCTATAATAGAGAAAGTAAGAGTAAAACAAATCATGTAATCTCTCATTTTTTAATATTTTTTATTTACATTTTAACAGTGTGATATGGCATATAAAGACATGGAGAATGATAAAGGGAAAGCAGTAAGATTTGAAGGGTGGTAATAATTGATGAGAACATATATAAAGAGGTTACATCATGAATTTGTACATTTTACCTTCAATTGGTGGTATGAGATGCAGATGATGCAAGAGTAGGGAGAGGAGAGGATATGCATGGCAAAGGCAAAGGCAAAGGCAAAGGCAATGACCATGTCCAGTGGGGACACAAATCTCCACCACATCACCCAATAAAACTTCTGTTTCACACCTCACTTAATTTATCCTTTCCCCTTTCCCCTTTCCTCTCACCACAACTATACAAAGACAAAGGTATATTCACTTCACCTAATAACAAACACAAAAAAACTCATCTATCTATCTATATATACAAAATCCAAACATCCCTCAACGCTTCCCACCTCTTTTCTTCAACGCCGACTTCACAAATAACATACAAGCAATCAAGAACCCCAACGCCGCCACGCCTCCCACCGCAAGCGCCACCGTCCTCTCCGTGTGCTCATGCCCCCCTTCCCCTGCTCCTGCTCCGACCAAACACAAAAGGAAAAAATTAATTAATAAATCGGAAAAAAATAATCTTTAATTGATTATTAGTTTATTATTATTATTACTCGGCGAAGACGATGCGGCAGTGGGAACTCCATTAGGGTAGAAGCTATAACTAACATAACAAGCGTGGAGATAAGTCTGCGCGGAAATAGCGCGACCGCACTGAGCCTTAGCCTGGTCCGCAGCACTCCTGATACAATCCCCGCAATCCGCATTTCCCAAATCACCCTCGCACTGGGCCAACACGTACAAACTCTCGTAACTTCCCGTGTAGAACAACGCGCCGCTGCTCTGCACGCCGTTCTCCGCCATCTCGAACGCCGCCTCCCTCCGCGCCTCCAAGCCCGCGCCGTCGGAGAGCCGCCGGGACCCGCACACTTTGTAGAGCAGCTGCGTGGCGGGGACCTGCTTGAAGCCCACGGCCTCGTAGCGGAGGTAGCAGCCGCCGAGCTGGACGCGGGCGGCGGCGACGTCGGCGCCGCAGAGGGAGGGGAGCATGGCGGGGATCCTGGCGACGCAGGCGGAGCAGTCGGCGTTGGAGAGGTCGCCGCGGCATTGGTAGGCGGCGGTGAGGGCGTTCTGGGTGGCGGTGGCGAAGGGCTTTTGCGCTGACTCGGACACAAGAGAGGCCAAAAGGGGTTTCAAGCTTGATGGGTCTTGCAGCTTCTGGTCGGCGCAGCCTTTGTAGATGAGGTTTGTGTTGTCTGCGCCTGAGGTGGGTGTGGGTAGTAGAAGGAGTGGTGTAATCAGAAGGAGGAGCGTTTGTGTTTGCTCTTGCTCTCTTCTTCTCGACCTACCCATTTCTGAGTTTGGTGGTGTTTTGCACTTTGCTGTTATTGCTTCCTGCTTTAATACATATATATATATATATATATATATTTATATTTGTCCATTAAATCTCACACACGTCGCTTTTGGTTCATTAATGTGTGCAGCTGGGAAAGAGAGGAAGGGTGAGTATATTGGCTTGTGGGTGAATTATTGCGATGGCCTAAAAGGGAATGCGATTGAGTGCTGGAATTATTTTGACCAGAATCATCAAAGGTAGTAACTTTTGATGGAAAATAAATAATAAATTTTGCAGTCAGAGGTGGGCCTGTTAATGTTCTTTGTGGTACCGATGGGACCCGCGGCGGTTTTTAACGCGTCCGACACTGGCACTGTTGTAAATCAGCTTCAGCGGGGAAAAAACAAAGTAGACACAGTTCGTGTGCCTGTTGCTGTTTACTACCATGTAACACAATTTTTTATTTATTAATTTTACATTTTCATGATGCGTCACGTACACTAGGTTATCATCAATGAATGCTTCCAACTATTGTGTACTTATGTTAGAGGTGATTTTTGATGGCGGTGACACTTTTTTTTTTCCTCCTCTTCTTGTGCGAGTTGTGATTTGCACTGCAATGGAAGAATGTGAGTTCAGATTTCATTTATGAGAATAGAACGCACAAGTGCGAAACTTCTACAATGAGACAAAAAAAGTGTACGAGTTTGAGTCTTTCACGACCAAGTGTGGATTAACCTTAGAGGATTAGTGGGAACACAAACTCTTCACTCTTCTTTTCTTACACAATGGCAGAAACGTGGAGGTAAGTGTGAAGAGGGGAAACGAAACTAATAAGGAGAAGGATCAAAATCATAATTCTGTTAGAATTTTGGAGACTTAGTATTATATATAGGCTATTCTCTTTCCTTTGTAAAAAGCAGATTTTAGATTCAGTAATAAAAGTATTTTTCAGTTTTCAGTTTCACTCTTCTTCTCTCTTCTCCCTAACATGGTATCAAAGCTATCCTAGATTCTTAAAAATGGGTCACCCACCATTCATTGATACATGCACCATGGGCATGAGGGGTGTATTCAAGTCCCGTCATTAAAAAAGGGTCACCTACTATTCATTGATACATGCACCATGGGCATGAGGGGGTGTATTTCAAGTCCCGCCAATCCTAGATCATTGAAAAAAAGGGCCACCTACCATTTATCCACGTACCAAGCCTAATAGTGCTGGACGTGAGGGGGGTGTATTGGGAAAAACCCAAGTCCCACATCGACTAGAGATTAGGCAATTAAATAGTATATAAGTGGAAAGCAACCCTCACCATACAAGCCGGTTTTGTAGGGTTGAGTTAGGCTTAATCCACTAGCGTGACCATGGCTTCCGCTCAAAAATTTCTTGTTCAACATTTCTCTACCCCTATTCCCTGTCGTCTCACTGAAGACAACTACCTCACATGGAAACATGAAGCTGAATCCACCATCAAGGGATACAGATTGAAGAAATACATTCAAGGAGATGCATCGATCCCTCCCAAATACGATTCTACAGAGGAGAAGGTCAAAGATAAAGTGAGTGAAGCTTTCGAAGATTATGAGCAACAAGATGCTCTTCTCAAATCTTGGCTTCTTGAATCCATGGAAGCTGAATTCAAAATTCGAATGGTAGGGTGTGAGTGGAGCTATCAGATTTGGGAAACCCTTGACACCTATTTTACATCTCAAACGCGTGCTCGGATCAAGCAACTCAAGATTCAATTGCGATCCATCAAGAAAACGTCCTCGATTACTCCGTATCTTTTGGAAATCAAGAAAGTTGTAGATACCCTTGCGGCAATTGGTGCTCCTTTGAACGTTGAAGAACATTTTGATGCTATTGTGGATGGGCTTCCTGATGAATATGATGGCTTTGTGACTTCCATTCTATCTCGAAAAGATCCTTACACCATCAAAGAAATAGAGGCATTGCTAATGGCTCAAGAAGACAGATTAGAATCACGAAAGAAAGTTGATGGTACCAACATGCAAGCCAATCTTGCACATGGAAATCACTCAAATAACCGTGGTCGTGGTACCTATCCAGGTCGTAGTGGAGGATTTCAAGGTCGTGGCCGTGCTCGAGGTGGTAGATTTCAGAATACTGGTGGAAGGAACAACAAAATTCAATGCCAATTGTGTGGAAAAATGGGCCACTCTGCTTATAATTGTTGGCACAGGTATGATCAAAAATTACCTGATCCAAATCAAAACTCACATACATTTGTTTCTCAAAATACAGGTCAGAATCCAGTTGCTATGCAAGCCATGAATACTTCAACCCAAAATTTGTCCTATGATGATAGTTGGTATCCTGACTCAGGAGCCACTAATCATCTAACTCCTGATGTTAATAACCTTCAACAACGGACTGAATATTCTGGCCCAGAGAAGATACATATGGGTAATGGCTCAGGTATAGGAATTGCTAATATTGGTACCTCTTATATTCAATCTAATATTGCTGATCAAAATCTTATCCTGAAAAATCTCTTGCATGCACCATTAATTACAAAGAATTTGTTAAGTGTTTCTCAGTTTGCTCGGGAAAACAAGGTTTTCTTTGAGTTTCACCCAGACACTTGTCATGTTAAATCTCAGGTATCCAAGACCACTCTTCTTCAAGGGAGACTTAGGAATGGTCTATATGAATTTCAACATGTTAAACTTGTCAATCCCTCAACAAGCTTCTCTGCAAAGTCACATGGTTTAGCTTCTAGTAATAGGCTTGTAAACAATTATGAAATTCTTCCTGTACAATCTTGTGCTTTTAATATTGAAAATAGAAGTGCTATGTTTGATGTTTGGCATGGTAGACTTGCCCATGCTTCCAATAAGATTTGTGAATATGTCATGAGACAATGTAATGTCCCTGAAAAAAATCTCAATAAAACAAATAGTACATGTACTGCATGTTGTATTGGCAAGTCTCATGTTTTGCCCTTTCCTAATTCTTCCACTGATTATATGGCTCCTCTTGATCTTATTTACACTGATGTTTGGGGCCCCTCACCTTTACCTTCTAGACTAGGATATAGATATTATGTAAATTTCATTGATGCTTACTCTAAGTCCACATGGTTGTACTTTATGCACAACAAATCTGAAGTTTTTACGCACTTTAAACATTTCAAAACTCTTGTTGAAAATCAATTTCAGAGAAAACTTAAGTGTGTTCAAACAGATGGTGGAAAAGAATATACTGTGTTCACTAATTTTTTGACAGATCAAGGAATTATACACAGAATGAGTTGCCCATATACGCATCAGCAACATGGTACTGCTGAAAGGAAACACAGACATATAGCTGAGGCTGGCCTTACCTTATTAGCTTCTTCTTATTTACCTTCTAGTTTTTGGGCAGATGCTTTTGCCACAGCTAATTATGTAATCAATAGGTTGCCCACTCCTAATCTTCAATTTCAGACACCCTTTCATAAGCTGTTTCACAAATCACCTGACTACACTTTTCTCAAACCTTTTGGTTGTGCCTGTTTTCCACATTTGAGACCCTACAACAAACATAAAATGGATTTCAGATCCAGTCTTTGTACTTTTGTTGGCTACAGCCCTCAACATAAAGGGTACAAGTGTCTCACTAATAAAGGTTCAATAATTGTGGCCAGAAATGTGGTGTTTCATGAAACTGAGTTTCCTTATAAAAATAGGGTCCAAACTGCTATTCACCTGTCGACTGATGCACAACCAGTGACAATGCTGCCTACAATTCCGATAGTCTCAACACAACATCCTATTCCACAGGTAATTACTAATCTTGTTCCTTCTAGAACCTCTACTGATATTGTTCCCTGTTCAGGTATACCTCTTGAGAATTCAAATTCTGCATCACCATCTCCTTCTGTTTCTGCTCAACCCAATCGTGAGACAACTTCCTCCACTCTCCCACAAACTGATTCTGTTGTTCCACCTCTCAACATGTCTCAACCTATTCCCAGTACTCATTCCATGACTACTCGCGCCAAAGCTGGCATTTTTAAACCCAAAGTTCTTCTTGCTACTTCAGAACCATCCAATCCTATACAAGCTCTCACCATTCCTGAATGGAAACAAGCCATGCAAGTTGAGTACAATGCTCTCTTACACAATAAAACTTGGAGTCTTGTTCCACTTCCACCCGGTAGGAAAGCTGTCACCTGCAAATGGTTGTTTAAAATAAAATATGATACTGAAGGAAAAATCAGCAGACATAAGGCTAGGTTGGTTGCCCGTGGATTTACTCAGCAGGATGACTTCACCGAAACTTTCAGCCCTGTAGTTAAGCCAGTCACCATCAGGGTAGTCCTTTCCATTGCTCTATCAAGAGGCTGGCCAATCCATCAACTTGACATTGATAATGCCTTTCTCAATGGCACTCTTCAGGAGGAAATCTATATGCAACAACCACCCGGTTTTAGTAATGGCAATGCCAACATTGTCTGCAAACTTCACAAAGCTCTTTATGGCTTAAAACAAGCACCACGTGCCTGGTTTCAAAAGCTTGGCTCAACTCTCCATAGACTTGGCTTTAAAGAAACCAAAAGTGACACCTCTCTTTTCACTCTTCATACACAAGAATTTACAATATTTATGTTAGTGTATGTAGATGATATTATCATCACCAGCAGCTCCGGTCAAGCAATTTCCAGTTTAATAGCTAAACTCAATGCAGAATTTCCTCTCAAAAATCTAGGCAAGTTGCATCATTTTCTTGGTCTAGAAGTTCAACCAGCTTCAAATGGTGGCCTTCAGCTCTCTCAAACAAAGTACATTTCAGACTTGTTAACAAAAACTAATATGTCAAATGCAAGGCCCATAAAGACTCCGTTTGCTCCTTCAACCAAACTTCTAGCTGATGGTACTGATCAAGCTCAAGATCCTCAATTGTATAGATCTGTAATAGGAGCATTGCAATATGCTACAATCACTCGACCGGATATTGCTTACCCTGTCAACAGATTGTGTCAATTCATGCATAATCCTCTTGAAGTTCATTGGACTGCTGCGAAAAGGATACTTCGATATTTAAATGGCACCATTGATTATTGTCTCCATTTTAACAAAACAAATGATCTTAACATTTCTGCTTTCTGTGACAGTGATTGGGCCTCTGACCCAAATGACTTGAGGTCAACTTCTGGTTACTGTGTGTACTTAGGAAACAATATTGTCTCCTGGACAGCAAAGAAACAAAGAGTGGTATCCAAGTCTAGTACTGAAGCTGAATTCAGATCCTTATCAGCTGTAGCTTCAGAAATTACTTATATCCAAAACCTGCTCATTGAACTGCAGATTCCTATCACTAGAGTTCCATTGATTTGGTGTGATAATCAGGGAGCTGTACTTTTATCTGCAAATCCAGTTTTACACAGCAAAACCAAACACTTTGAATTGGATTTATGGTATATCCGGGAGAAGGTTGCAAGAGGAGAATTGCTTGTTAAACATGTTCCAGCTCGTTTTCAAGTTGCAGATTTACTTACCAAGGCTCCTTCATCAAGCACCTTTTTGGAGTTAAGACCCAAACTCAATGTGAAACAAAGATCCACATTGAGTTTGCAGGGGGATAATAAGGAGAAGGATCAAAATCATAATTCTGTTAGAATTTTGGAGACTTAGTATTATATATAGGCTATTCTCTTTCCTTTGTAAAAAGCAGATTTTAGATTCAGTAATAAAAGTATTTTTCAGTTTTCAGTTTCACTCTTCTTCTCTCTTCTCCCTAACATGAACGATGACGAAGGTGAAGAGTGAGGCACTCTCGCAAGTCGCAAGTGAATCGATGATGCACAGATAAATAAGTATTCTAAACCTCTTCAAGTTATCAATGTTATAAAGCTTGCAAATTATTAATATTTGAACCTCTACAAATTACCCTCACTATGAAATAACACTTTCCTTGAAAGGAAAACAACCGGTATTTATCGACCACGAAACATCAATTGATGTTCAAAGAAAGACGACAATTCTTTGAAACCTTTGTAGATTGCTTTAAACCACATGTTGGAAGAAAAATAACAATTCTTAGCCTTTATAAGGATCACCATCATTCTTTAATTTACCTGCCTTCTAAAGGTTACATTTTAAACATACATTTCAAACTTAGTAGATTCTTTAATGTATTGGGTTTGGGTAAGCATGAGAGTTAATGTTTGCAATGATATTATAGTTTAACAACATTATTTTAGTGAATATCCTTAGAGCTTTGAGCTACATACATCTTTCTACAATTTTTCTAGTTTATAAAGCATTATAAGAGGACTTGAATCACAATTGTGTAATATCACTACAATAAAATGTTACATAGTGACATATAAAAAGTGTCATTATAGATACAATATATGTAGGTATATGTCTATTTGACATATAGTTACACATAATTTTAGTATTGATTTTGAATGAGATTTAACAACATATTTTGTGTGTCACTATAGTTTATACCCATACTTTTTAATAATATACCAACATATATTATAATTTTTGTGTGGATAAAAGTAATTTTTAGTGACATCTATAGTGTCATTATAGAGTGTGTGTCACATATGACAATTTTGTTGTAGTGTATATGAATTATCTCCTTCATGTTTTGATGTTGTCTTTTGCTATTGTATAAACGTCTTATTAGATTATAATTAGAGAGTTTTTTTCCAACTTTACAATAGAATTACAACACCTTTTAATACGTTGTAGAATAATTGTTAGCTCATTTTTAAACTTATAAGTATCACGAACAAGTTTTTGAGTAAACATTATGCATATGCATTCCAATAACACTTGATGACTTTTTAATGAAACCTTATGCAATCATTTATAAGTGTGTTTTGTTATAAGAAGGGCTTTTTGACATAGATGAAAAACAATCAAGAGCTCTCCTTGTTAGGATACTTGTTGATATAACTTGTAAACTTTTATTCCTTTTTTATTAATATAACCTACCCGAGGCATGGACAAAACTAACCTACAAAAAGGTTACCAAGTCTTGCAAGAACAACAATAAAACTTCAAAGGGGAGATCCTCAAGGAGGGAAAAAATCGTAGAGCTCCTATATATGAGCCAGAGTAGCTACATAATCAACCACACAATTTGCTTCCCTAAAAGTGAAAACAAAAATAATTTGTCATTTACGAGATAAGAGATCAGCTCCCCGTTGAAAGAGATTAAATTGGTGAGGCAATAAACTATGATGGAAAGCAACCCAAGCCACCTAAGAATCAATTTCAATAATGACACACTCATGGCCATGGTTCCAAACATTCTCCGAAGCAGTGAAAATAACCCATATTTCAACAACATTTGAAGAACAGACCTCCAACCTCTAACTAAAGCCTTGAATCCACTACCCCTGATCATCATGGAGGACTCCTCTACGGCTAGATTGGAAGCTTCCCCACCAGACTAAGGCATCTACATTATACTTCACCCAACCCCCATCAAGGGGATTCCAAGAGCCACCCCCATCCAGCCCCTTTTGTAGTCTATAAGTCCTCAATATCCAAATTTGTGCAACCTCCACGGTCAGGATTTTAGTCTTTTGAATAACCCTGTTACTGCACCAGTCAAGGCTTAAGAAAATGTCATTTTGGACCTCTAGATGGACCACAAGGTGATACCAAAGAGAGATTCCAAGCATGAAAGGGGGCAGAGACATTCATTGTGATCCAATTCTTAACATTACTCCTGAAGAAATTGGAGTTCAAATTTCTCCTATTTAAAAAAAAACGCTTAAAAGATATAAAATGAATTTATAGTGTCAACGTGTGTACGGAAATAAAACAACAAGTATTTTCTATGAAATATGAAAGATTTAAAAAATAATTGGTTCCCTTCCAAATAAGGTCTAGGTAACTGCACTTCCAAATTAGGCTTTTTCGCCGTAATGAATTAAAAAAAAATTACTAAAATAAATTAATAAAAAAATTATTTATCAAATTAAACTTGACGTTTTGTGCACATACAAACATAGTGGATCACATGCAAACGCAGTGGGTGCAATGGAAAAGCTTGCAAAACTGAAAATGTCAGCTTGGCTGACGAGTTCCTCCCCGAACAGGTTACAGGTTACATTAATCTCACTTTAACAATTTGTGTTACAACAACTTCGACTGACATTCCACGATAACAATCAAGGGCTACTTCTGCAGTTAGAGCATCCGAAACATAAGAATGCAATTATTTGATGCACACAATATACTAAACCATCATGCAGTTAGCAAAAATTATTGGTTAGAAGAGAAAGAGATGAAACAAATAAAATTTCGTGGGGGATCAAACAAAAGAAGAGAAAATAATTAAGGAGTTAAGTAAAGTAAGTAACCTTGTGAGCAAAAAAGTGTGCAAGTGAAAAGTAACTAATCAACATTGGCCCAATGCTTCGAGTGTAAAGTAAAGACCAACCTTCGCTTGCTTTACATATGGTACAGGGACAACAAATTCACCAATATCCATATCTCAAATAGATCGTGAAAGACACAAGCCACCAAAAAACTGAGGACTGACGTTCACGGGCCTGTATCTTTCTACTACAAGGAGCATTGACCACTGCGAGGTACAAAAAACGTCACAATGGTTAATGTTTTCTGTTCACAATGGACTATGCAACTATTCTTTCTCTCCTACATGCACGCATTTCTGAAACTTTTCACGAGAGCTGACGTTTTCTTTTTCTCTTCGAATTTATTTTAGTAATTTTTATTTATTTTTTTAAATTTATTATGACAAAAAAAAACCCTCCAAATTACCCTTAAAATCGACTTAGACAATTTTTTTTTTCAAACTTTGTTCTCTTCATTTCAATATTTCTCATTGATAGGTAAAAGAAAATTTTCAAATATATCAAGAAAATAAATATAATTTTGTTAGATAAATTATTATTCAATTTGACCTCTCTTTGTTTTTGTAATGTTCAAGTTTGATCCTACTATTCTTAAATAGTTTAATATGCTTATCTAAGGATTTAGGATTTAGAGTTACTATTAATTTGAACTAAAGAACAATATTAAATATTTTATAAAAATTTGATAACTAAATTAAATTATTTAAAAATAATAAATTCAAATTAAATCTCAAAATTAAATAGAGACATTAAAAATATAATTTAGTTTTAACTTGGTATTCAGCATGTCTTGAATAACCATACAAATAAATTTCTTTCAATAATTAACCATATGTATAATTGATTATTGTTATAATCAATTGTAATTAAAATAATTTTTTGTTTACATAAGTTTGTATGGGTGATCAATGATTTGATGCAATTGGTTTCAGACCAATATAGCTCAAACTAATATAATATAAGGGTTGCATTATTTAAATCTGAACTTGATAAATAGCTTATTAGTTTAGGAGGTCTTCGTATGAGCAGATCTCGATTTTAATAAATGTTTTTTAACATGTAGAGATGTATTGACCGTTTAATCATTTAATTAGCCTAAATAAAAATTTTATCCAATTTATTATCTTTATTTTTCAATTATTGTATATTTTTTTTTATACATTTAATCATTCAAATATAATTAGGTTTGCTTAGACTCAAAATGAATAAAAGTTATTAAGTTTTAAATATTATAATAATTTTTTTAAGTACAAAAAAAAAATTAAAGACTACGTCCTTAAATAATTTTTTTCACGATAACAATAAAGATTAAAAATAAATTAAAATAAACTTAATTTTTAGATTTTAATAATAATTACTTTGACATTTATTTTGTTTGGTAGAATCAAGTCTAATTAAAATTAATCGTTTTAAATTATTTTCTTAACTTGTATAAATCAGTAACCTATATGAACCCACCCATTTACATCTTTTTTTCTTTTAATTTTTTTGACTTTGAATTGAGTCTCAGATTATATATATATATATATTTCAAACCTTTGAATTTGTTGTTACATATATACAACTTTTTCTTTTTTTGCATTTTTTTTGCCTTAAAAATAACAAAAATGAGTGAAAATATTTTTTACCAAACGTATTTTAAACATACTAGTATATTCTGTAAAAGAAAAAAAACTAGATATTATTTAATAGAGTTTTTTTTTAAATGAAAATTTGGTAGAGGTGTTAACCATATATTTTTTATCCGACTCTTTTTAACACACAATTTACTATTAATTAAAAAATATTAATTATAGAAATACAAGTGTAGTTCAATTAATAGAAAAACAAATTCATAACATTTTAAATATTTCAATAATTTTTAGTTCTACGTATGTTTTTAAAAATTATTATTCATATTTTCTTATTCAATTAACTCTATATATTAATCACAAATAACTATCACATAACTTGATATATATAGAAAAATAATTTTAAAGATTCTCTCTAAGAAGATTATTTATAGAAATTTTTCTTTGATGAGAAATATTTTGAATTTTTTTTAACTTTTCAATTTATATTTATTAAATTTATTTATAAATTAAATTTAATAATTTTAAAACAAATTATAAATACATAATTTATTATAAAATTTTATTTATATATAATAAAAAACATGGAAACATAAAAAGCATTAAATATTTTCCATAAATAATAATAAAATAAATGATATAAAATATTAATTGAAAATATTAATAAAATCCCCCCCCTCAAAAAAGAAAATATTAATAAAATAAATGCTACAATATAATTTTATTATAAAAATATTAAATGAAAACATAAATACATTTAATGCACGGAAACATAAAGAGCATTAAATATTTTCCATAAAAAAATAATAAAATAAATGCTATAATAAAAGAATTCATTTAATACTTTCTGATTAATGAATAATTCATTTAATATAAATTGAAAGGTGGCAGCAACAGGTTATTATTTAAAGTATATATATATTTTGACAGAATTTAAATTATTATTTAATACTTGACATAAGTTAAGATGTGAAGGTATGGTGTGCAGAACGCGCTTCCGTTGAAGGTGAGAGAGTGTACTGTTAGAACTTAGAAGAGAGTCCTCCACGGTTCCCAGTTCCCAGTTCCCAGTTCGCATGCTCCTTCCTTTTAAGTTTCAACACTCTAATTCTGCCCTATTTCCATTCACCCCCAAACTCTTTCGCTCCCACAACCGCAATCAAAAAATTCAATTTCACCCTTTATTCCTCACTGCATTATTTGTTTCCCGCAGGTTTAAGGTTTCTGTTTCACCATGCAATGTGTCTTCTGCACCTTTTCTCGCTTTCGCTTTCGGTATCGGTTTCTTTGACCGATAATTTCTGCGTTTCTGTGCCGTTCACCGGTCTGGATTGTTGATTGACTTTTCGCTCTCTGCTGTTTGTTTCGTAGGTTAGTACTTCATAACTGTGGCTTAATTATTCATAGATGTTGTGTCGTTTATCTTTGAAATTGAATTGTGTTTTGCACTTGGGAACGTGTAGCAGAAGTGGTTTTGGGTGATCATACATGGCGCCCAATCCGAGAGTGGTGGCGGCCTTTACGGCAATGGCGAATCTCGGGATTCACGAATCAAAAGTGAAACCGGTGTTGAAGAAACTGCTTAAATTGTATGATAAAAACTGGCAACTAATTGAAGAAGAGAGTTATAGGGCCCTGGCAGATGCAATATTCGAGGAGGAAGAAAATCAGGTGTGTTTTCTTCTCCACATTCTGCTTTATTTTACCCATTATTAACAACACTCTGATTCATTGCTTGATATCATTTAATAGGTGGCGGAGCCAGACCAGAATAATAAAAACAAGGTTGGTTTTGCTTTGTAACACTTGTTATTTATTCTATGTTGCTGAGTTTGTCTGCATTTCTTTCTTGCTCTTAAGCCCATGGATGCTGACATGTATTATTTCTGGTTTTTCAAACGTTCAGGATGGAGTAGATGATGAAGAGGCTCGTACACATGAGGCGCCTTTGCGACCTTTGAAGAGGTTGCGTTTGAGAGGTCAAGAGGGTCAATCTTCACGCCCTATGACTATGACTAGTGGTGGCCCCAGCTCGGGTGCCTTTCCATTGAAAACGCCTAAATTAGAAGATGGCACTGTGCCTGAAAGTAGTTCCAGATTGCAGCCTCAAAGCACAGCAGCGTTATCCGATGGAAATGCAAGGGTTGATGCTCGTCGTGTTCCCCCACAAGATGCTGTTGTTGACAAGGGAAAGCAACCTTTATCACCTCAAGTTACTCCTAGAGGGAGAAGATCTACATCTGACAGAAGCCCCCTTGCAGAAACACTTAAAGGGCCAACAGTTGAGCCAGGAGCCACTCCGACAGCAAATAAAAAAATGCCTCCTCCATTTATTTTTATCAAGCCCAAGGATGAGCCTGTTGATGAATTGCCAGATTATGAGATTATTCCCATTTCAGTGATTCTTCCTGGTATTCAACTGACTGCTTTGATGAGAGCTTCTTACTTTCTGTCTTTTGTTTTTTGTCGTGACATCTTGGTGGTAACTTCTACTTCATGGTGCACTTTTATTGAAGCCAATGATAAGTACTGTATTTTGTTGGCAATGCTGCAGAGTAGGTGGGTTATTCTTATTAGGAAAATATAGGAAAAGACTTTAAATCCAAAATACCTCAAAAGAAGAAAAGAAGTTGATGTGCAAATTTTGGCTAAACTGTGAAATAGTTTTAGTTGAATAGAACCTGATTAATTTTCTCTCCCTGAAAACCTGTCATATGATCATCTCTGTTTGCTGTTGCTTCTATATGTGGAAGATCCTTGGTTCCTGACACCAGAAATTGCCTTGTATTTCAGACTTAAACCAAAGAAATGTTACTTCCGTGCCATTTTATTTTGTTGTTATTCTGTTTCTAACCCCATATTTAAGTTTGTGTTGACGAGTTTTATTTTGATTTCTTTCCCTCAAAAGAACCATCAAGTGGAAGAGACTCTCTAATGGGGGAAGCTGAGAACCAAGATGGCCATGACACTGTGTTATCACAGTGCAGAGATGAAGATGTTGAAGGTGAAGATATTCTTCCTTCCTATAATGAAGAAGCAACTTCTAATGTCAATGTAGTCTTGTCATCTACGAGAGAGGTAAAAATTTCTGTGCCACAGCTCAGTTCTTTGGAACCAGATTTTTATTTGCCTAGTCATGATGAAATTCTAAAATTATGGAGGATAATTGCTTGCTATCATATAAAATCTTTGACCCTTATTTATGAATTTGGAACTGATTCAAATAATAACCCACAGGAACACTCTTTAAAGATAGCACAAGCTGACGATGTTGCAAAGGAATTTGAGACCAATGGCTCACCAATTTTTGGAGTAAATAAAGATTCAGTCATGGCAAATGGATCAGTTAGTGTCAAGTCTTCTTCTACCGTGGATGCACCTCATGTTCCTAGTTCTCTACCCTGTCCGAGTGATATAGATGATGCTGTAGTAGTTTCCAAGAAGGTTGGAATGAATGATTTATTACAAAGTAATGGAGGGAAGGAGCTGGAGGGGCCTATATCCCCAAATTCATGTACTTTAGTGGTTGTTCCAAAACATCAGCTTACAACTGACAATATAGGAACTGTTCATGATGTTAATGACCTAACAAAAGGAGAAGAAAGAGTGAAGATTTCATGGGTGAATAACACTACTAATGATTTCCCACCACCCTTTCACTACATACCCCGAAACCTTGTGTTCCGAGATGCTTATGTTAATATTTCTCTATCTCGTATTGGGAATGAGGATTGTTGTTCAGCTTGTTTGGGCAATTGTGTATTGTCATCTAAACCATGTTCTTGTACAAATAAAACTGGGGGTGAATTTGCTTACACTGCACAAGGCCTACTAAAGGAAGAGTTCTTGGAGGAGTGTATTGCCATCAGCCGTGATCCTCAAAATTATTTCTATTGCAAAGCCTGTCCACTTGAAACATCAAAGAATGATGATTGTTTAGAACCTTGTAAAGGACACTTAAAGAGGAAGTTTATTAAAGAGTGCTGGAGCAAATGTGGGTGTGGGAAACATTGTGGAAATCGGGTTGTCCAGCGTGGAATATCTTGCAATTTGCAGGTGATTTTTTAACTAATCTTTCCCCCTAGTAAACAAATATATTTTCTGCAATGTTGAGATCAATGAGGTGACATCATTGCATTGTTTATGTTCTCAAATGCATTTTTTCCTTGGTAGGACTTTTAACTTTATTTAAATATGCCTTACCTATTATCCACTGCTCAGGTGTTTTTGACTTCAGATGGAAAAGGGTGGGGTCTTCGTACCTTAGATGATCTTCCAAAAGGTGCATTTGTATGTGAGTTTGTTGGGGAAATTTTAACCGCCAAAGAGTTGCATGACAGGAACATGAAATATCCCAAAAATGGGAAATATACATACCCAATTTTATTGGATGCGGATTGGGGTTCTGGAATTGTGAAGGATAGTGAAGCTCTTTGCTTGTATGCAGCATCATATGGAAATGCTGCTAGATTTATTAATCACAGGTATTGAAATTTCTCATATTTCAGTAGTTGTCTTTTGCAGTTATTTATAGTAGTTTAGTCCTATAGGCTTTCATACTTTTTCTGTTGATGTGTTTAAAATAATTATTTTAGCTCTCATTAATGTCTTTTTTTATAGAAAAAAAGTAAATGTTACTGTGGTATGTGGGGTTTGTTGAAATTAATATTAGTAATTTGTAGCTTTGTTTGATACAAACAGCTATTTGCCTCAACCAAACTTCGTTTTACAGTGATTGTAATGGTTTGTTTTAGATTTTAGGTTGTTAAATCAATTCTGCATCGAGTAGAATTGATTTTGTGCCAAGTGAATTTTTTAGAGTTGTTCGATTTTGTTTTTATTTTCAATTATCACTTCTAATTATGTAAATACGATCATGCTTTCATTTTTTTATTTTTTATTTTATAGATGTGTATAGAAAATAGTGAAAACAATAAAATCACTGGGTTCATCAGAACAATTTTTTTCCAACTTTTTTTGTCTTTCACATACTTTTCTGTTGTGTTTATGACACGGGAAAGAGAAGATTGAAGAAGACAACATGTAAGCAATAAAGGATTCAACTTAAACAAAATATGTGAAGGGGGAAAAATCATTCTTGGGAAGATACCTTCAATTATGATACTTAATAAATAATTCTATTGTGGCAGAAATCAAGAGAATCATTATTCTAGTGTAGATCATTTTCCCATTGATTTTACTTTTTGACACCAGTTTCTAATTATCCTGAGAGAAAAGGATAATATTATTGTTTTATTTTTATATTAGTGAATTGCATAGAAAAAAAGTACTTGGTATAAAAGATGAAGCTAGGAAGGGATTGGTTCAATTTTATTATGTACTGATTAAGGAATTAATGGCTGCATATGAGCAGACTGAGGTTCTTTACATGTGCTGTTGATGGGGTGTTAACTAAAAACTTCTATGAAAAAGTGGCATGCAGACATTACAGTGGACTCATTATCTGGCAAATGTGAATCAGAAGTTTAATATTTCTACTTTTTGGCAGATGTTTGGATGCAAACTTGATTGAGATCCCAGTTGAAATTGAGGGCCCATCTCATCACTATTATCATGTGAGAAGTTAGCAAATCCTCTAATTCCATTTCCCCTTTTTTAATACCTTAGTTGGCATTTGATGGGAGTCTATAAAACACATTGCTTTCTGATGTTTTTGATGTGTTCAAATGTGCATGCAGTTTGCCTTCTTCACATCCAGAAAAATAGCAGCGCAGGAAGAGCTCACTTGGGTGTGTGAGTTTGGTTCTGTATTATGTTTTGGTGATTGTATATTGCAATGATTGTTGCATTTTTTTTATGGTTCATGTTAATTGGTCTTTTTTATCAAGTAGGGCATAAATTAGCTACAAAGGTGAGATAATTTGATTAAATCATGATCCAAATATGGTTGTATTACTGGCTACTAATTTAGTAAATGCCACATTGTATACTGGGTAGTAGTTGGGTCTTCGCAGACCATTTGTGAGCAAACATCATAGGTTCTCAATTTTATGTATTTCTGTTTCTTCAAATTATGTAATCAGTGTAGGAATTTATTTACTTTTCTCTAGAAAAGCTTATGTGCATAGTGTTTCTGCAGGATTATGGCATCAACTTTGATGAACATGATGAGCCTGTTGAGCTGTTCCAGTGCAGATGTGGCAGTAAATTCTGCAGGAATATTAAGCGATCAAATAGTGAGTTCAATCTATCATTTATGTGTAATGTGCAATTTGTTTCACTTTCAACATAAAAATTGTGACCTGTTATTTATCTTTTGGATGATTCAATTCCTACGCTGTGGCTATGCCTTCTCTACTTCTGTTCAATATTTGTTTTGAGTTGTGTATTTCAATTTTCACTTTCTCTAATAGTCATGATACTATTAGAGAGAGTGAAAATACACTGCATCTACTCCTGAGTTGGACAATGGTTTTATTCGATGGATGCTATTCTTCATTCAGCACATCCATACCTGATCAATGGTATCATTGAACAATAGTTTGTAAAAAAATGAATTAATCGCATACAGATAACCTGGAAGTTGTAATATTCAATTCAAGGCGACCTTTGATTGTCATTAACATTATTCTTTGCTGCATATAACCTACCCATCATTATGCATGATTGATAGTTGGAAAGGCTCTGATCATGCTGAAGTTGACATTCTATATTTTTCTTGCTTTGTTTTATAAATACTTTTTGGCCTCTTGTTTTTTTGCCTAGTTTATCCCAATTGTGGTTATTTGATGATATGGCTGATTTGGCCTAATGCCAAACTGCCCTAGCATTAAATGACAGTAAAATTTGAAGACTCGTGATCATGTGCTTGTACCAATGTGATCAGAGTTACATTGGTGCAGTCTCTGTGAATCTTAATTGCATTCCGATTTGCTCAATCTTCTTTCATTCTTACCAAGTGGTGTATGTGTTTCATTTATATTCTTTTTGACTTTAATGGTTATGATTTTACTTTCTTACTAATTCTTTTACTCTTTCTTATTGCAGGATCCAACAGATCTTCAATTGCATAATGGCCATTCTCTGCTAAACCGATTTTGTTGGTCTAATGCATGACCAGATAACCGATTAGTAGTAACAAGTTCCAACTTACTGAATTGGACTCTTTTTTATTTTATTTTTCATTTTTCATTATTTTGCTCGGAGGTTGGATACCAGTTACCATTTACAGTCTCCTAAAAACTATAAGGCAGTCATGGCCTAGAAAAAAAAGTCAGAAAAACAATAACCTTTAGGCTTTAGTAATTCTGAATGGTTCATAAGGTTCTGCCGAATGGCAATGGATGATTCTGTCTCTAGGTTTATGTTGTGCTAATGCATGCATGACGGATTAATGATTAAGAAAACTTCTCACACACAATTTTTTTTATTCTCTCAATTTTTTGAAAGCTGAAAAAAGTTCAATTTTATTATAGCTACGTTGTGAAATGAGTCGTGAACAACCGGTAACAGGTGCTGACCAAATATTTTTTTCGTAAACGACGGGACCTAAGTCGCCAAACATAATGCTGATTAAAGATCAAAAAGGGGAAAAAAGGAGTTTGTTAGCCAAAAATTAAAAACATGCATCCTCTGTTTTTGACGGTCGGAGTTTTTTTTTCTTTCTAAAGCATGGACCTTTGTTAATTGTGATGATGGGAAAAACATGCTATTAGGTTTATTAGTCATATCACACTCAGCAGTTCATTAAATTAAGGCTATTCCATGTTGCGCTTTTATTTTTGCTATCAATAATACTCTTATATGCGGGTGATGTGAGAGTTTGTGACAATTTTGCAGTTCAAATTCTAGAATATCATCTGTATATTTTAGAATTAAACTTAGAAGTTTATTTGTTGAGAAAATAATTTATAAATTGACAATGTAAATAAATTTTATATTGTCATATAAAATAAGTTTACAGGCTTTTACTATGCTTTAAAATTTATAAACAGTGAATTTTTTGTGTGTCAATAAACAGTAATTTATAATTGATTGATAATGTAATTTTTTATTTTTTTATTTAATTTCTTTTACGTATTGCCATTAAACTATTGTTTAATATGCATTTAAAAAAAATGAAAGTTTATAAATTTCATAATTAAATTTTTGAATGTCTATTTATTACGCATTTCACAGTTAATATATGGGAAGTTTATTTTAATTCTAGATTCTAATATTATAAATTTGAAATATGTAACAAATAGATTTATGAAAGTTTAATTTTGGAATGTGTAAATATATTTTTGGAATTTTATTTTCAAAATAAACAAAGAAAATTTGAAAAGATTAATTCTGGAACAAAGAAAGACTTTCAAAAGTGTAACAAATAAAATACGAAAGTTTTCTATTCATTAGAAGTTACAATACTAGTTATAATGATTTTTTTTTTCTCTTTTTGTTTCTCCACATTAGATTCTGGGTGTGTTTGGTTTGTCGATCAGGCATTGAATTAAATTGAGGTTCATCTTACATGGAACATTGCATCTTTTTTGTTTGTGATTTTCATTTTCCATTGAGTGGAATGTCATTTTCCTTTAAATATAAGTTTGATGCAAAGTTACCAGTCTCATGGTTTTCACTTGAACGAAACTGAATTGAAAGCATTTTAGATTGCACTGAGATGTATTTGACAACATTACCTCTTTATAGGGGTGGGTAGATGGACCGCGGTCCGCAAGCCCGCGGATTTTGCGGATAACGGGCTCGTTTTTTTTTAAAACCGTATGATTATGTCTAATTTTTGAGCCCGGCTCGTTAAGTCTGCAGACTTGGCGGATTTAATCCGCGGGCTCGCGGGCTAGTCCGCGGACTTCACATTTAATATTTTTAAATTTTATGATTTTAATATTAAATTGTGTATTTAATTTTTTAAAATTATTATGACATTAAAATTATGTTTAGTTGGTATATATTTGTCATTTGAATTATTTTTAATGATATTTTGATGTTTTTATTATTGAAAGTTTGGTATTATTATTTAAGTATTTGTAATTATTTTTATTTTAATATTTAGTATTTTAAACCATTTTAACTATTGATAATTTTAGTATGATAAAATTTAGCTTATAAATAAAAAATATTTTTTTTTCTTTTAATTTTATGTATTTTTATTTTTAAAAAATTATTTTTTTGAACTATTATTTAGGCCCGCGGACCGGTCTGTTATCCGGATTTTGGCGGGCCGGATACGGACTTAAAAAATAAGTCCATTTATTTTACGGACCTGACTTATCCGGCCCGTATAAAACACGAGTTTTATGGACCGGACCTTAAACGGGCCGGACCGGTCCGTATACCCACCTCTACCTCTTTATATAAAACAACATCTGTACATAAGTATACATCTAAAAGTGTTTTTGATTAATATCACTAAACAAGTTTTATTTAATAAAAACACCATTAAAATAGAAGTATCTAAACTTAAAGCAATTATACTAACCTTACTTTTAGCTAAATTTGAGTTTACAAAATTAATTTTAACTGCACTTCATTGGGTAAATTGAAATCCAAACACACACGGCATGAGGAACCTTTCACAACCAAAGTTCATGGGGAATAGAGAAGAATCACAACTTCACAAGGACAATTGATATTCGAGGGGGAATAATTATAAACACTAAAATGATGTTCTTCACCTTAGACTTCCTCAGTAATTGCCATTTTATAATTCAATCTGTTTCATTGACTTTTTTTTTTTTAAGTGAAAGTTATCTTTTATGAGATACAATCTTACTTAAGTCGGTATGAAATTTTGTTTCTGCATAATCAAATTCATTTCTGAAATTTATTCATCGATAGTTTTCTTTGGATAGGCAAATTTAACAAATAAAATTACATCACCGTTTTACTTATATATTTTTTTTATAAGTAAACATTATATCTTTTTTATTTATTTATTTATAAAATATGTTTTTAATCATAAATAAAATTACGAATATATTTTTTTAAGTTCCATATAAAAATTATATTATGAATTCTTTAATTACTGTAAATAGATAAACCAATCACATTTTCATTTTCCAAAAAAAATATGTTAATCTCATTTAAGAAATATGTATTCTAAAACATAAAAATATGAAAAATATTGTAAAAAAATAATGTTTTCTTTAAAAAAAACAAACAACTCTCTTGAGGTCTATATGTATTTTTTGAATCATTGGATAGTAATGGGCCAGTTTAAGAGCGAAGCCCAAGCCCACAGCGACAAAACCCTAGTCTGAGGCGAGAACGCGCATGCATATATAAAATAGAAAGAAGCACAGCTAGGGTTTGTGTTGTTCCACAGAGACGCAACAATGTCGAAGAGAGGTTCGGTTTCATCTCTCAGATTCTTCAACTCCTTGCGTGCTCGATTATGATTACGGTGCGCTAATCAATTAATATATGCCGTTTCAGGTCGCGGTGGATCGGCGGGGAACAAGTTCAGGATGTCACTGGGTTTGCCAGTGGCGGCGACGGTGAACTGCGCCGACAACACCGGCGCGAAGAACCTCTACATCATATCGGTGAAGGGGATCAAGGGAAGGCTGAACCGGTTGCCGTCGGCGTGCGTCGGAGACATGGTTATGGCAACCGTCAAGAAGGGAAAACCCGATCTCCGTAAGAAGGTTTTGCCTGCCGTTATCGTCCGTCAGCGCAAGCCCTGGCGCCGAAAGGACGGAGTCTACATGTACTTCGAAGGTATATCACTCTTTCTTTCCCTTCCTCTGTAAAATTATTTGTGTTTTGGAACTGTTTCTGAGATTGTGGTTTTCGTTTGTGTAGATAATGCTAGTGTGATTGTGAATCCCAAAGGTGAAATGAAAGGTACGTGATATCTCTTGTCAATGCCTGGTTTCAATTATTGATTGAGTTTGCTTGTTTAGGGTTTTGTTTGGTTGGTTTTGTTAGTGGGAAATTGGAGTGTGATGTTACTTGTTTCGGTAATTGTGTTTGTCTTGTAATTGTAGGTTCTGCTATTACTGGTCCAATTGGGAAGGAGTGTGCTGATCTGTGGCCCAGGATTGCTAGTGCTGCCAATGCTATTGTTTAAGTTGGTTTTAGCTACTGTAATGTTTCTGCATTTTGAACTTGTTTTTGATTGTGTTTTAGGTTGAATTGTAGACATATAGTCTGTCTTGCTTGATTTTGAGATGAGAATGTTTTTGATGGGATTAATTGATAATTATAAGAGTTGTTTCGCTTTATTCTTGTGTTCTGAATTTCTTGTTCAGTTTACGTTATTACTTATTCTGACCGAGTGGTGTTGAAGAATGGTTTTCTTTTGGTTAAAGTTATGTTCGGGTTGTTTGGAATTTCCCCTGGCTTAGCGAAAATTTAGTATAATATGGGGCGTATTGAATAATTAACTTGGCTAAATGATTTGAAGTTTTGGCTATTTAGTTGTTCAAGTAGAGTATTGGTTTTGTTTTAGGAGGTTGTTGTGGCCAAGAGGCTTAGTTTAAGTTGTAAATATCAACTACCTAGTCCTTGCCACGCGATCCAGTTATAAATAAAATTAAGTTGTTAAAACTAGGGCTTTAGGAAAGGTGTGCCTGCCTTCATATTCATCCAGTGTTAAGTCTAAAATAATTGCGGGAATAGTGTGGTGGACTGTGAATAACGTTAATGGATGACGTTGGGTCTTTTAAAGGATATAATTGGTTGCCGTGAAATTTTTTTTTACACTGTGTATAGGTGATTAATTTTACATATATTGTCTAATTATTTTTCTTCCAAAAATTTCATTCAACAAACTATCCATACATTCAACTAACTAGTTACTATTATACAATTTTCATTTGTTATTTTTACTTTTTTAAAAAACAAAGAGGCATAAGTGCCTCTTTTTTCGTACATAACATAAATAAAAGACTTTTGATTGTGAATAAAAAAAAATGAAACATGTTAGAGAAATTCATCAACACACCATCTTATTTATGCGCTTTGACTTCGTTATGAAACATTCGTGTTTTCTTTGGTGTCTTTGGATGCTATGTGCGTGTTACTGTTTATCGCAAGATATTTTACTCCCTAAAAATAGGATCCGATTTTAATATTTATTTATTTTTATTCGCTTTCTTTAATATTAATGCTTGATTTAGCGTGAATATGGCTACTTCACTTATCACTAATAATTCTTCATGTTACTTGCTACTCTTGTTCAGCCGATGCAATGACCAGAAGTCTGGAGCATTGTTATACTACACATGTCAGACTAACACCGTATGTCTTTCTTTTAGGATAGGTCGTGGATACAAGCTCATCCGATGTTCCAATGAAACTGATCTAATTCAAAAGAAAAATTTTGGATTGCTTCGTACTATGGAATCGGTTTGAATTTAAAAGTTAAAAATTCAATTAATTAATTTAATTCGGACTTCGAGTTTTGAATTTTGAACATCAAATTAAACCAATTCATCCGATCAAATTAATTTTTTTTATTATTTTAATAACAATTTATTAGATTTGTTTTGTGTTATTAAATTTTGATTATTTATGAAAAATAAGTAGTAAAGTGGTCCATTCAATAACAAATGAAAAAAAATAAAACCTATTTTTTCTTTTAAAAATTTCCCTCACCATCCCTTGGTGTTGGTCATAACACTTGACAAATTTTGTCTAGTTTGTAATATTATTGAACATGACAAATGATAGATTTGTAGATTTTGTGTTGTTGGATAGATTTATGTTTTTATATAATGATGCTTGTTACATTTTAATTTAATATTTTATCTAGTACTCTATAATGTTGATAAATATGTTTATGATGTTAAATATTTTATTAGTTAATGATATGAAAATATATTTTACAAGTTGTTTAATGTAATTTTTTTAAAATTTTTAATAACAAATTCAATAAATTGATATAATCTAAATGAAATATGATTGAATGAGATTGGTTCGAGTTAAAAATTAAATAATTAAAAAATCAAAAAATCTAATTTAATTAATATTAATTAATCAAAATATATTTGAAATTCGATGTGGAAACACACTGATTTCTTTGCCTTAATACTCCATTCAAATTAGAGAGGGTTCTTATTCTAAATCTTGAAAGTAGAATTTAATTTGTTTAAAAGTTTGAATGTACGGTCGTATCCTCATTTTTCCAATTTTGGTGAAAATATTGCAAATTTTACTTTTACTTGTGATGTATTTAAGGATGGCATGATCTGTCCCTCAAATCAAACTTCAAATTGATTTGGGACTAGATTTATTTTTTTGGTACTCAAGAGGTTAAAAGAAGGAAGGTTGTTGATGTGACTTTTTATATATGCCACAAACTTTAATTAGTGTTTACACTTGGTGGTGCTTACAAGTGAGTGAAGGATAACCTGCAGAAATCTAACCCAAGTGGACAGGACCTTTGTTTTGAGATAGTTCAATCCTACCCTTATCGGTGAATTTTATTTCATTAACATCATTATATGAAACGAAGAAAAGTTAGTGATTTCTGAACTAGTCGTTTTCATACTTATTATAGCTATGGATGAAGCATCAACCTTTGAGCAAAACACGGTAAAACACAAATGATGCACACTAGCAAGTACTGGTAGGTCTTCAAAAAGTGCTTGAGCACCCCATTGATGTTACACCACTAGAGGACATTTTTTCAATCCACTCCATGCTGTGATCATTATTGAGGCAACAAGCTAAAGTGTGATCACTTGATGCGATGTTCATGACCATAATGTTTTCACCTACAACAAATCAAAAATTGACACCACCCTATATTTGGTTCCCTCCTTGTGCGGTGCACACTTTATAACATGCTTTCATCCAGTCCAATTCCTCATCATGCATGCATTTCTTATAGCAACTTTAGTGTCTCAGTTTTATATCTCTCAGATCTCAGTTGTAGAAGCTTGAGAGAAAAATGAGAGTTAGTCCTTTAGTGACACTTGGTAATGTCCCAAGAAGGGGGTTACTTGGCTGTGGCACCACATCAAGCGTTCTCAGACAGCTAGTTTGCAAGTGGAAACGTAGGTGGAAGCATTCTATGGGATGGCACAAGAGAGGACCACAATACAGCTATGATTTTCGCAGTTATTGTCTTAACTTCAGTGATGCTTCTTCCAACGACCATATCCATATCCCTCCTTGTGTTGGCTGAGACATATTATATATATATATATATATCTTTTCTCTATAACCATCCCCTTATGTCTTTTCAGAATTTGAATTAGTTTATATTTTCATTCTATAATCATATATGATAAAATGATATGTAAATTGCATGGTTGTAAACAATTGCTTCAGCAGCCATTTGCCATTCAATCTTTTGTTGTCATGAGCATGCTTCAGAAGTTAAAATGTGGAATAAAGCATATGTCACTTGAATTTTAATCTTGTTCAGGTTCTGGCATTGTGATTATATAAATGATTTCAGTGTGTTAATGATAATTTTACTTCTGTTCTTTCTGGAATCTGTTCTACATTCATTTTACAGTGTACTAGTGTGTTAATGATCATTTGGATGAGCTGTACTCATAATTATCCTCTTTCCAAAGAGAAATTATTGAATGATGGGACTACCATGTTTCCATGACTTAGCCAATTTTTAAATCATTTATGATTTTTTTTCTTTCAAATTTCTAATTTTTTAATAAAACTTAATTGGGTGTCATGCACATAAAAATTATCCCAATCTTTTGCATGCTGTCTTTTTATTTATTTATTTTAAAAAAAAATTAAGATATGATTGTTATAATCATTAAAAAGTAATGACATTCAAGATCTAACAATTTTTTATAGTATATCGATTGAAGAACTTTTATTTATTTATTCTTTTTTAAAAATTAAGATATGATTTGCGTTATTAAAAAATATGACATTTCAAGATCTAATAATTATTTGCAACATATAGATAGAAGAAAAATAATATGGGACAATTAACTCAAATTTCATAAGCAAGAATTAACAAAAACTTAAAAAATAATACAGGAGCTGTCCTTTTATTTTATTTTATTTTACTATTATTATTTATGCAATTCTTTCGTATGAACTTTATGGGCAGGGATGTAGAAACTTAATGCTAAGAAAATAGCAAAGATTAACTATTCAAGATGAGTACCTCATTCGTTTATCAACAAAATAAAGGTAAAAAAAGTTGGCAAAATTGCTCCCCTTGCTGGAACATACATCAATCCTTCTGTCAATTAGCGTAATTAGCGATTTAATCAATTTTGCTAAAACGCATTTGTCCATGTATGTCGGTCGGTATGTGTCTTATCATATGGGAATCCAAAGATTAATAATGGACCTAAAAGCATCTTTTCAAACATAATCTCGATTCGTAATTGTCCATTGCAATAACAATATTATGCGAGTATTATTAAAAATAATTAAGGAATTTAGTTAATTTAATTTACCATATTAAATTTATTAATGATTTGTATTATTTTCTTAAAATTATCCCTCAAATTATTAGAACTTTATTTTCGACCTTTATTATTAGGATAAGTTTGTAAAAATATTATCCATAAGTTGTATATTCATGAACATGGATTTGTTAGCTATAACTATAAAATTAATAGCATACATAAAAAATTTAAAATTACTTCCATAAATGGGAACCCGTTTTCAAAAAGTGGGACTTATCCCATGTATTTGCTTCGCTAGTTTTAAAGCAAACTGCCCCATTTTAGTTGAAGAACTCACCATTTTCAATTAAATCAATTACTAATATCTTTACTTAAGTTTCCTATTCCTATAAAAAAGCGATTTTTTTAAAAAATAATTTATTACATATTATTTATTAACTAGAAAATATTGAATAATTGAGTATGTTTGTGTATTATTTTTGGATGTAGTAAATAATTAGGAAGAGTCTGTCTTACAGAGAAGGAATCAAATTCAAAGCAAACTTTCCAAGCGTTACTCTAAAAACCGGAAGGTGTATTATGTACAAGCATCAACGTGATTATTATTTTTTATAATTTGTTCATAAGTTATTTTTAATTTATTTTAATAAGTTCTTTATGATAACTTATGGAAATAGCTTATAGTAACTTGTATAAAAAAATTAATTTAATTTAATTATAAATAACTTATATATACATAAATACCTATGCAATAAATATTTATTCAATAAGAATTTAATTAAATTGTTTAAAGATGCTAGGTAAGATTTAAGATGTGAGAACTTTTTGAAAACAGCTTAAAGAGCCCGTTGTATGTCCATATATCAATGATAAAATTTCACGTCTTTTCTAGAAGAAGGAGCCCGTGATCTGTGGCAATGATGACGGGCCTAAATTCTTATTAGGGGCATAAAGAAAATTCAATTTTACGTATAAACGTATGTAATATTATATTAGTTATTATAACAAATTAGTAAAATATACTCGCCTCTTCTATATTTACATGTAAAAACAGTGAAGTTATTTTTTCAACATTAATTTTATGTATTTAATAACATGGTAAGTCATTTGTACACGTTAAAGTTTCTTTTTTTTAATTAAACACTTTGTTCATCGACTTATTTCTCCTAAAAGAAATTGTGAATAAAAAGTCATATATTATGAAAAATCATGAATAAAAAGCTTAAATAAGTGGTCATTTCATCACCAATAAATAGAGGCTTTTGAATGATGCTATTATATGTTTCAATCCATTTTACAGAAATAAAAAAATAATATGAGAAAGATATTGTATTTCTGTATTAAAAAGAAGAGAGAATTATTCTGATCACAAAATTGAAAGATAGTCATTTAAGGAAAATGAGAGATCCTTTTGAGAAAAGACAATTTGTAATCATACTTTTATAGTGAAAACATTTTATTGGATAAGTCTCATGATATTTCTCTGTATTGAGAAGATTTCTCCCTTAAAAACTTTGGTGTCATTTTTTTAAAACTTTTTATTCTTAATTTTTTTGGTTTCTGTACTGTGTTTATTTTGCATACACAAAACTGTCTTTCAATTCTCAACTGTACAAACGTTCTAAATGATATTGAAGAGAATATACATACGGTTCTTGCAAAATTCTCTATCTCAAACTAAGGAGGGTATACATTCTAAACCAATATGATTAGAAAAGTGGAAATAAATAATAAGGCTCACATGCATGCCATTTAATGCAGTGCTATTGAAGTTAATCAATACTTTAATTTGTAGTAGTCATTATAGCTCATTGAAGCTACTCCTACCTAATAATAAGTAGATCAAAAAGTGGGAACATTTCTGAGTTGTCAACAATCCCCATTGTCAACTGTACATTATACTAATTATGTCCCAAACGTTGAAATTGAATTACAAAGCCATTCGATATCATCATTTACCACACTATAATGTTATTCACATTTTGTTTTGCGCTTATATACATCCTGTATATTAATTACATTTGCCTCTAAATTATTCATAGCACAATTCAATTAACACTTTCTGTATTATTTTCCCTA